TCGCCCTGCTCCCTCACGCATGTGGCAGGCAGAGATAAATTAACGGCAATCAACAATAAGACTTCAACTTTCTAATGAACTTGGTGGAGTGCGCCTTCTATTTTTAACTGGCCCAATTTCTCGGTCACATCACATGACTCCTATTGTCTTGGCTGAGAATTATGAGAAACAGAGAGAGAGAGAGAGAGAGAGAGAGGGAGGAGAAAGTGAAACTGGGCCATATTTTTTAGTTCAGCAAGGTGACAAACTCTCTTAGTTTGCATGTGTATTTTCTCTTTCATTTGCAATTTGCTAAGTAGCTTTAGAGAAAAACAGTGACTTCTTCTTCTACAGTGCTCTATTTAAGGAAACAAAGAGCTAGAAAATGACCTGATTGGGGTCACATAGAAAGTCCTGAACTAAATAAGAAGTTGCTTTGGAGACTGTGTCGATGATTTAGCTCTATTTAACTTCAGGGGTCTCGGAAGCTTTTTGGGTTTGGAGATGGGGTGGGCTTAGCTCACATTTTTACCATTCGTGTAATATTTCCCGTCATATTGGGCAGCGCCCTGGTGTAGTGGCAAGAATATTGGCTTAAGCTTGGAATGAAACTATTCTCTGCCTTTCTTGACCAACGTGGGCTGACATGGGAAACTCTGGTGGCATAGATGCGTTCCCTGCGTATTGTCATTCCCTCGATCTCCAGGAATGACTCTCCAGGGCAAGTGTCGATATCTTGAAGACAACCTGCAACTCATAGCTCCAGCATCCCTGAGGCTGAAGGGAGGAGATCTCGTTGTTTCTCATCTGTTACCCAGGAAAGAGAACCAAAGTGGTTCCTTAAAATTCATCGGTTTCAACAAGTTAGCTTAACTACACAGATTCTGAATTACTCAACTTCGGAGTCGCCTAAACATTTGAAATCTGAATGCCCTTGTTAGGAAGTTGGAAATCTTAAGAAGCTGCCCCTTTGGCATTATCAGTAGGTCCCTAATTCTGGACCTTCTGTGTTTAAGCCCACGATTCCCGAACTGTGGGTTGAGGTACCCCGAGGCCCACAGCAAACTCAGGGAAGCACTGAAGAGTATTTTGTATCTTGGAGCAGTTCCTGACATCCGTTAGACATCACACAAACCACGTGCTTTGTGGTCGTTCCTTCCTGCAACAGTAGATTGTGCTACATTCCTTTCAACGACATCTTATCCTCGCAAAGCGGGGTTTGGGGGTTCAGTGATAACGGGCAGATGAAGTGTGAAAGTCACTGTGAGACAGGAAACGAAGATGTTAGTGTCCAATCAGATGCCAGGATCAGAGAAGCTGCATAGCACCCAAAAGGCTCACATGCCGTTCGCTGTATTTATTCAAGAATGAGATAAAAATGGTTCTTTTACTTTCAATTTATGGGTATGATTATTTCAGGTGGGTACTAATTTGTTAGGAGATAAATGATTATTAAGTTATCGGCTAGAACTACTTAATAAACAGAACTGTTAGGTATTTCTTTTGGTCTACGGGCACCATGAGCCAAAATGGTTTGGGAAACCCATAAGCTAGCTTACAACTCCGGAGGTGGCCTTTCAGCTTCTTACTTATAAAGGTCTCTTCAAGTGCAATGGAAACTATTATAAATATTGTGGCAAGTTGTATTTGCCCCCCAAAAGCCCCCAGCAATATTTCTAGTCCCATTCTGTTTTCTAGAAACTTGCCTCTCCTCTCATTATAAGGTTGAGCTTAATTTCCCTTCTCTTTTGAACAAGAGTCAAGTTTTTTATAATTATCTTTTTAATGTTTATTTATTTTTGAGAGAGAGACAGAGACAGAGCATGGGAGACAGAGCATGAGTGGGAGAGGGGCAGAGACACAGAATCTGAAGCAGGCTCCAGGCTCTGAGCTGTCAGCAAAGAGCCCAATGCAAGGCTGAGACTCACAAACCATGAGCTCATGACCCGAGCCAAAGTCAGACACTTAACTGCCTGAGCCACGCAGGCACCCCTGAACATGAGTCAGGTTTAATGACTCCCTTCTAACGAAAGCTACTGAATACAATGTGCAGAAGCCATGCTGGGTGACTCTTAAGGCCAGGTTGAAAAGATGATGAGACTTCAGCCTGCCTTTCTCTTCGGATGCCCGCCCTGGGAACCCAGCCACCATGCTGTGAGGGAGCCCAAGCAGCCCATGTGGAGAGGAACTGAGACCCCCCGCAGCCAGCATCAGCCGCCCCTACTTATCCAAATCTTGACCAAACAAGCCTTCAGATGATTATAGCCCCAAGCTTGGAGTCTGGCAGCTAAGGCTCCAAACACTATGAAGCAAAAATAAGCCATCCTCTCTGTGCCCTATTAGAATTCCTGACCCAGAGATCAGTGAGCATAATAAATGGTTGTGTTAAGCCTCTGAAATTTGGGGTACTTTGTCACGCAGCATTAGATAACCCAAGCGAGTATGATGGACACGTGTGAGATGCCTATCCAGCCCAGGAACTACTAGCTTCCCCAGCTCTTCTCTGGAATTCTCTCCTTATACAGTCACCCCATCCATATAACCACAGAGAGGACACCCCCCCCACACACACCTTACTTGCACCAGGTAACTCCACCCCTCTGGCCAAGAGGATTGGACCAGGAGTAACAACCTGACCAAACAAAGTCAATCCCAGTCTTGTCTCAGGAATTTGGAACGGAGAGGGAGATTGGTGTTTCTGTTGTCACTGGTTCCCTTGACGTGTAACTTCAGGAGTTTCGGGGCAGCCATCTTGGACGCCACATAGACTGGCAAGCAGAGACGGAAGAAGAAACAGACACACAGGGCAAAGCAGAGGTAAGAGGGAGAAAGTGTGCTGCCCCAGGTCTCGGAAGGACTTGCAGTTCTGGACTCCAGTTCTTCCTGAGGCTCCAGAGAGCAACCTCCAAGCCATTTCTTTAAAATAAATTCCCCGTGTTTTGCTTACATTTGCTAGGATTTGTTTCTGCAGCCTCAGGGTATTTTTCACATCTACCCACCACTTTACAGCCCACTGAGGCTCTTTATCTGCATGATCTCATACAATCCTGACCAGAACTCTGTAAGAGGTATATGTTACCACCCCCCCCCCCCCCCCCCATCATCGAGAAGAAGAAACAGAGGTCCAGAGGAAGCTACGGGGGTAAGGCTCACAGGTGGAAACAGACATTAAACCAGAACTACAACCTGTCTTCTGTCTCCAAATGCCAAGCTGTGTTTGGGGGATATTTCTTCCTCCTGCTCTGTAGAAGTGGGGAGGTGACATCTGATTTGTCTCCGAAACCAACCATATGTCCACAGTGTTTTCCTGCTGCTTCATAAGACTCAGGGATGCCCAGCATTCAGGCCAGTCCTTGGGAAACCAGACCCTCAGCCAAGGATACAGGGTGCCCAGTGCCCAGTGCCCGGCACCCAGAGAGCTCAGTACCCAAAAGGAGCCCAGTGGGCACTGTAGATGCTCCAGACAAGCGACTCCTCCAGTCTGAGGTGGCCGGAGACGCTGCTCAAAGGAAATGGCATGGGAAGTTCAGGAGCACTTGGATACGTCCAAGGTGAGGGTGAGGGGGGGAGGGAGATCATACTCCAAAATTGCCTTTTTCTTTCCAGGACCTTCTCAGGTTCTTCAGTAACAAGAAACCTGAACCTTTGAATCCTCAAGGCCTTCAACTCTCCCTGAGAAAGTCTGCTGAAGAAAGCATCTAGTCCAGCCTCCAACCGATGAATGAGACCCCTCTGCCGAATCCGAGCAACGCTCTAATCTCCTGCTGTCAAACAAGGGACGGGGGCCACGGGGCGTGGGAAGCACATGAGCAGAGAACGACCTGGGTTCAAGCCCTGATTCTGCCACATATTCCTGCTGGTCCCTACATAAGTCACTTAAGATGTCTCAACCTCAATTTCCTCATCTCTCCCCTTCAATTGAGATGTTGTTTGTTCAACCCAGAAAAAAGGTAGGTGAAGTGTCCAACATCCGTCATAGTAAACGCTCAGCAAAGTCTAACATTTAAATGACCTCGTCTGACAGCCCATCCAATCTTTGTTTGGTCCTTATTGTTAGAAATGCTTTCTTCTATGTGGATGAGCTAAGCTCTGCCTGCCCGGAATGCCCACCGCTGACCCTGCCTCTGCCTCCAGAGCCCCCCGAAGGACAGCCCTCAAGCCCCCAACCTTCCTGCACACACCACTGCTTCCTGCCTCCACCCTCAGACCGGTCCCTTCCCTGGTCCCCACAGTCAGACTGTGGAAGCTGCAGACTGCCTGTGTGTTCCTGGGGGAGCCTGCGCACATTGAAAGCCTTGTTTGCATGGAAACTTCCTCACTGAGTCGGGTCAGCAGCTTCTGTCAACACAGCCCTCAGATAAGATGCTGTAACTCAGAATGTTTGGCTCAATAGACATCTGCTACGCCCGAATCCTACGTCCCATGCTAGCGGCCTCCAAAAGGCAATTTCAGATTTCCCCATCCTTCTCTCCCCTTCTCTCCCATGCCCGGCCTCCCCACTGCACAAATAGAAGCCAAAGGGAAAGGTCCAATTATTCCATGGAGATTTAGCTACTGTATTGACAAAACTCAGCGTTAATTCCCAGAAAGCACTCAAGCCCTGGGGTGGGGGCAGGGTGGGGGCAGGGAGAGCCCGCTGGATAACTGGGTGAGAGTCATAGGCGCTTTTCAGCCGAATCTGACCTAGTTTAATGAAATCAGGTCATCTGTGAGCTCTTCATTACCCTCAGACTAAACAGGACCCAACAGAGCAGCCAATGTCCCTGGCCTTTCTGAATTCTGCTCGTTCGCATTATGACATTTTGATGTTGGGTCTTAATGCGTGTTGACTTAGTGGCTGGGCTCCTGCAAAGGTAGTAAACAGGCAGGAAAGTAAACAAGAGGGCTGATGTTAAAAGCGCACACACACAAAGGCAGTGTAAATACCCCAGGTCCCCAGCCTGCATCCTCAGGGAAGCCAGCAGACAAAAGGCGTCACGAGTGTCTGTGACTATTATCGCTGATGGACGGACGGGACTCACCTATTATCCTGCCGGCTCTTCAGCTGGAACTCGCGGCTTCAGCAGATCTTCGGGGCAGGGGGTGGGCTGGGAGGGAAATGAAATTGTCAGTCTAGGGATGGTAGATTGGATTCAAGGGCAAATTGCTCTCTGGCAACAACTGCAGAGGACAGGGACAGTCACTCCTCTTGAGACTGTCCTATGGGCTGGTGATGGCTTTATTTCATCTGCTGTCCCGATCTGCATTTTCCGGAAACCGAAGCCTGTGGCCTGGGAGTCTGCAAAGGAACCGTCTTCTCTCGGTGGATGCTTATTAATGGGATGACTATTTACGGAAGCAAATGATATGTGTGACTTCCCGGTCCCTATCAGAATCGTCACAGCCTGTCAACCTCAGAAAGGGCAGGATGCTCCATCCCTGATACGCACAGCAAGCGCTTCAGTACAGAGGTGGCCCAAGGACTGAGGGTTCGGGGTGTGGTCACAGTTTTAACTGAAGATGAACTTAACGGGCACAGACTGGCTCAGGCGGACAGCCAAGGGAGGCAGGAGGGAATTCGCGCACACACTGGCTACTCTCTGGAGTCCGTAGTAGTCCGGGGTGGGGTTGAGAGTCTCACATGGTGATGGATTTGGTCTGGGTTCTGGCTGTTGCCTGTTGAGCAATGGCTCCCTGTGGGAAAACGCCGTCCCCTCACCCTCCCTTCCCGAAGGCTCCTTGCCTTCGGGGGAACACTCCTCTGTCAGTTACCTCATTGACGTGCCCAGCCCCTGTGGAGAGAGGCCTGAGGGCTCACAGTGCAGACTGGAAGAAGTGAGATACTGTGACCTAAGGGTGACCTGAGCAAGGAGTGTCACTTGTCTGGCTTTTAGTTTTTCCATGTGCTTCCCCACAACATTTCTAAGGCTCTTCTATGAAGTTCGTTCTGATTCTACAGAGTCCTAAAACCATTCTCTGCCTCGGTTCCCCGGGCCCCCATACTCCTTTTCAGAGCAGGTGTGCCCTGGAGAAGCCATCTCTGTGGTCTTTTGGGCTCCACCACTGGCCTCGGCTGCCTTAATGCCAGGCTCGGACGCTGACCTGCTGCCTCCCAGGGCCACCACTCGAGAGTAGTGCTTGCCCTGGGTCTATTGTTTCCTTTAGCGATTGGTAGACACAGTTGGCCACAGAAGAAAACCAGTTTCTTTCCCAAAAGCAAGGGATTACAAGCTGGTCCACTCCATGACTGTACAGAGCCGAAGGGATGGGAGGCGTTGGGTCTGCCCCTGTGCCTGGCCTGACAACCAGAGTTAGACTGTCCAGAGAAGCAAGATCCTGCGGTCAGAATGACGGCTGAGATTCTGGCTTTAACCCCTCTGTACTATCTAATGGGGAAAATGGCAGGATCGAGTTTCCTGTTTTATTGGCATTCGATAATATATATTCAGTGACCATGTCTGCAGTGAGGCAATTGGTTTAAAAGGGGGTTATAAGGATTGACTTGTATTTAAGTGCTTAGAATTCCAGAATGGTAATTATCTCGATGTGCATCCTAATTTATAGGAACTCCAAAGAGCTCAACAGCATATAAATTTGAGCCTGTCTAAATGAGTCTCTGAAAGAACATCTATAATCAGAGAGGCAGAAAAAACACTTTGCCCAAAGAAAGGCTAGAGAAGTTTAGTCCAGTGGTTCTCAAACATTTAACCACAGAATCTTGTGGTTGAGATAAAAGCTTCCATGAAAACCAAATACATAAAACAGACCCAAGGGGTCTGCTCAGGTAGAAGCAGAGGAAGGGCCCAGAGCCCTGCCTCCTTTTCCCTCTTTCAGCCCCTTCCCCAGGCCATCAAGGCTCAAGGCACCCATGGAACGTCTGGGGCTCTGACGAATGCGTTGAGAAGCAACGACCTACTACAAGCTCCTCAGTTTATAGATGAGGACCCCTAGGTCTAGAAGGATGAAACGAATTGTCAAAATCGGAGTGCAAGTCAGAGACAGGAGAGGAAGTAGATTTCCGGGACTGCGAGCAATGCTCACTCACCATTACGTTAAGTGCCCACTTTTCAATGCTGCCCCAACCAATCTTCATTATTTACTTGCATTCAGGAGTTAACTTTAAAAGTGTCTTTTTCAGAGACGCCTGGGTGGCTCAGTTGGTGGAGTGTCCGACTTCAGCTCAGGTCATGATCTCGTGGTTCATGAGTTCAAGCCCCATGTCAGACCGTGCTGACAGCTCAGGACTCGGAGCTGGCTTCAAATTCTGTGTCTCCCTCTGCCGCTCGCCCACTCACGCTCTGTCTCTCTCTCTCTCTCTCTCTCTCTCTCTCTCTCTCTCAAAAATCAATAAACATTAAAAAAATTAAAGCGCCTTTTCCAGAACTGAAACAAAGTTTTATCAATAAGATGAACAGGCATAACAATGCTGGTGTAGGAAAGGCAGCTGACCCAGAGTTAGCAAGTGGTGGTACATTACCTTAGATAAGTCTTTTTCTTTCTGGAAACTATTCTTTTCATCTGGAGACGCTAAACTCAGTGACTTCGAAGCTCATACAGACTTTAAGGCTAAATAGCATGGATTTAGATCTTCAAGGTCATCTCTTCTTTATTCTCCTATAAATGATTCCTTTGAATTAGATGACATAGCTAAAGTAGAAAACTCAATAGAAAGATCAGAAAACACAATTATGGAATCTTTGAACTGTTTTGTTGTGTGTGTGTGTGTGTGTGTGTGTATATATATATATATATATATACATGGATGTGTATATGAAAATATGGGAAATGAAATATATAGCCAATGAAATGTGAGTATAT